TCATGATTTTATAAACCTCTATAAGGTCATCCCTCAGCCCCCGACGCTCCAGGGAAAATAGCCCCAGCCTATTCAGCCTCTCCCTGTAGCTCAAACCCTCCAACCCTGGCAACATCCTTGTAAATCTTTTCTGAACCCTTTCAAGTTTCACAACATCCTTCCTATAGCAGGGAGACCAGAATTGAACACAATATTCCAAAAGTGGCCCTAACCAATGTCCTGTACAGCCCCAACATGACCCTCCCAACTCCTATACTCAATGCACTGACCAATAAAGGCAAGCGTATCTAACGCCACTTTCACCACCGCTCGACATTGTGGGGCCTCACCTGATTGGTCCTCAGTGGTGTCTGCCGAATGGATCTGATTGTCAAACCAGAGATGAGCGACAGTCATGCGGTTCTGGGTCAAAGTGCCGGTCTTATCGGAACAGATCACCGAAGTGGATCCCAGCGTCTCCACAGCCTCCAGATTCTTCACCACACAGTTCTTCCGAGCAAGTCGCTTTGCAGTCAGAGACAGGCAAACCTGTAGGGACAGCACGGGGTTAGACACAGAGTAAAGCTTCCTCTACACTGTCCCCCCATCAAACACTCCCAGGGACAGGGACAGCACGGGGTTAGATACAGAGTAAAGCTCCCTCTACACTGTCCCAATCAAACACTCCCAGGGACAGGGACAGCACGGGGTTCGTGTCTGTGTGTTGTGTGGGGTGGTGGGGGAGATTGTCGGTGACGGACAGGGAGGGCCCGAGGTTGCCGTGACTCTCACCGTGACGGTCGCTAGGAGACCCTCGGGTACGTAGGCCACCACGATGGCCATGAAGAAGATCATGGCGTCCAGGAACTGGTAACCGATCACCATGGCGACGCAGAAGAACGTGGCTCCGAAGAAGATGGCCAGCCCGGCGATAATATCCACAAAATGCTCGATCTCAATGGCTATGGGGGTCTTCTCATTGCCCACTCCCGAAGCCAAGCTTGCAATTCTCCCAATGATGGTGCGGTCCCCGGTGTTAATGACGATGCCAGTGCCAGTTCCTGTGGAAGGGGAGGGCAGAGTGCCATCGTCATCCTTTCTCAATCCCCTCCACAGCCCATACGTAACTCCGAATGGCGGTGGGGAGGTGGGCTGTCCCCTCTCGGGCACAGCGTCTCCCTAGCCCATTTCCCCGTGGGTCAGGAGTCATGTGGAATAGCCCTGGTTAAGGGTGTGTCCTCCCTCCCTCACCCTTGATCCAAATTTCACCCCAGTCGGCGAGGGAAGGGGGGCAGGGCTTGAAGAGACGGAGGGGGAGCGTAGGGCGGAGGTGGAGAGCAAGTGTGGAGGAGCAGGAGGGGTAAGAGAGGAGGTGGAGGGTAGGGTAGAGGTGGAGGGTGAGTGTGGAGGAGCAGGAGGGGTGAGAGAGGAGTTGGAGGGTAGGGTGGAGGTGGAGGCCGAGTGTTGAGAAGGAGGAAGAGGGAGGGGATGGTGTAGGGCCGGAGGGAAAGGTTGAAAGGAGGATGGGGGAGGGAGGGGATGAGGAAGAGTGGGAGTGAATGAGGGCTGAGTGAGGATGCACAGAGGTGAAGGGGGAGGGAGAAGGGGCAGGGTGCGGAGGGGGGAGGTGGAGGCAGGGCAGAATGAAGTGGGGGTGAGGTAGAGGAGGGAGGGGAGGCAGAGTGAGGAGGGGAGGTGGAGGAAGTGGGAGAGGGGGCAGGGTAAGGAGGGGGAGGTGGAGGAAGTGGGAGAGGGGGCAGGGTGAGGTGGAGGGTGAGGAAGGTGAGGGAGGGAGTTACCTTCGAGGCAGGTGGTGGAGAAGAAGGCGATGTTCTTGGTTTCGAGAGGATTGCTGTGGGTACACTCGGGCCCCTTGGACTGAGGCTCGGACTCACCAGTTAGAGACGAGTTATCCACCTGGAGGGAGACCGAGAGGGAAATCAGAGAGTTCCCTCAACCCCTTCTGGGGCACCACACCCTCCATCACTCATCCCCCACTCACCCCCAACCCCCTACCCCTCACCCCTCCCACCCCACCCCCCCAACCCCCACTACCCACCCATCCCCTGGTCACAGAGAGCCTTCACTCCACCATCAACTACCACCACATCTTCAACATCTCCCTCCCAAAAGCCCCTTTTACCCCCCTCACCCTTACCCCCTCACGAACCAATGACCCTCCGCCTACCCCCCCAACCAAAAACCCACCCTCTCCTCTAATCACCCTCGCGCAGAGTGCCCCTCACTCCCTAATCCCCTCATCAATAACACCCCTCCCTTCCAAATTCCCCCCACCCC